AGACCAGGTTCGACCTTTCTGGACCGCCATTCACCGACGGTGGGCTACACGATGCTGTAGGAACTAGATTCCAGTGAAAACCCAAGATTCCTTTGCTCCTGGACGCTCCGACGTGTCGTGATATCTGCCAGTTGCGCAGTAACTAGTATTTTCATCGCTATAGCGAGGACGACGCCGATTGGCAAACTCTCGCTCACAGCCATCACCAGCCTCTCAAAACCATCACCTGGCATCCCCCAGAGGTATAGGAGAAAGCCAAAACAGCTCTCAACAAACAAAAGCTAAGGACGATGGAAAGAGAGCATGTCAAAAAGAAGACGAACAGTATGAAGTTCAAATGGGTTTGAACACTCGTACCACCAACTATACCACTTTCAATATATCGTGACGCCATTTTGTTTTAACACGCATACGGTCCGTTGGACTGTTTTGGTTTCACATCCAGTTTGTGCATGCACCATGGAATGCCAATGGTTACGTCATGCATTTTGTTTTGTTTGCGCGCATGCTCATGTGGTGCATTGATGTTTTTCATATTCTTCAGTTTCCAGTTTCCCTTGTTGTGTCCGGTCTTCTTTGTTCGTCCGTTGCCCGTCTCCGTCTTGTAGAATGAGAGAGCTTGAAAGCTCAGGACCCTCCACTATGCTTTTTTTTGCCTTGATGACCTAGGCTAAAAAAAGCATAGGGATGTTATAAAATTTCCATTTTCCTTCTTTTTTCAAGACATAACCTGGGATTTGAACCCGCACTATCACCCTGCATGCATCCTCCGATACACTTCACATACATTCTACTTCTTCGAAGTTGCTTCACGTTATTATCTTCCTTTTGAAAGCCCTGTTTGAACATTGTGGCCAGCTGTTTGTGGCCAGCCATCTTTGATGGTACGGTACGGTACGGGACAGGTACAGTCGAGGGTAACACGACACCTGGGCAAAAAAAGCATAGGGATGTTATACATTTTCAAATTCTCCTATAACCTGGGATTCGAACCCGCACCATTGCCCTACATGCATTCCCCGATACACTTCGCATTCATACCCATTCTTCCAAGTTGCTTCACGTTAAGATCTTGCATTTTTAAGCCCTATTTGAATATTGTGGTCAACTGTTTGTGGCCAGCTGTCTTAGATGGTACGGTACGGGAAAGTGTAACAGTAAGCATACTAATTTACTAGCAGCTCCAGTCGACACAACACATCGAACTCACTCCTTCTGGACTAACCAAGAACTGCGGGGAAACCCTCGTCGTGGCCAGCTTCATATTTCAGAATAAATGCAGGGAGTCATATTCGACTCCCTGCTGTGTTCAGAGTACGGTGTGGGAGGTAGAATAAGGATGTGTGTAGTAGTAGTATTTATTTTATTTACCATCGGATGCCTCAACAGTGATACACACAACTCTTAAGAGGGCCGATAACGGGATAAGTGGAAAGGAAAGGAAAAGAAAAAAAATTGAAAAAAAAATTGGAATTCAGACATCAAGCAGTACAGTAATCAAACACCAAGTCAACTTCAATCTTAGTACAAGAACTATCAAGATCATCGAGAAACTCAACAGATTCCAAAAAGAAGGTCAAAATACTTCTTAAACGCCACTGGGTCTTTAAAAAGACCCCTGAGTTGGTTTGCAAATGTAGAGGTACGGTGGTGCCTGCGCCACTCGGCAGGTAGTGTATTAAAGAAAATTGCGGCACGATTAGAAAAAGAATTTACTCCATCAGTTGTCCGGTGCTTAGATATGGCAATGGAAGCATTAGAGTGGCTTCTAGTTCTAAGGTGTAGAGAAATAGTTGTCCATTATGCATGAATAGTAATAAGTAATTCGGGGATCACCATACAGAGCCTGCAGAAAGAGTGTAAGTCATTATGTGATTGGAAGGCCTACGGGAATGGGGAAGCAGTCTCTAAGACCATTCCCGTCACAGAAAGATACAGGATAGCGCCAGGCCTGGCACAAAAAAAAACAAAACAAATAAATAAATAAATGTGGAAAGGAAAAGGACATAATTCTGGATACGAGTTAAGAGTAACTCTCCATCACTGTAACTGTCCTTTTCCTTTTCACATTTATTTATGGCTCAACATCTGAGTTTTAAATAAATATACACCAAATTCAAGCTGTGTGACCCTGGCTAGCGCCAGACGTTACTGAAATAACGTCTTTTGCATAGCTACGGGAATAATTAAATTATGTAAAACTTTACTTCAGTTTTGTTCTTGTGTATGGCGGGGCGAATAGGAAGGGTGGCTGGGTGCCTGACGCCTGGACAACATGTGTGAGAGCACAAAAGTGCCTTTATCATTCTAGTGACCCGTCAAAGTCTCACAGCTCATCTTCTGTATCCCAACTCCCATCGCTACATCACTGCTCTTGTCTATCGTTATCTACGAAATACAACTGGCTTGGACAATCGACTCGCCATGATGCTCCTCTCAGTTAAAACCTTCGCTTGATTTCACGATCTAGGGCTCGCTGGAAAGCTCTAGGCAGGGTCAACGCCACGACGCCAAGCTCCATTATGAAGCCGTAACAAATCAGGCGCGGTAACACAGCAAAGTCGTCTCCAAGCCTAATAGGCAAGCATATCGTCCCAACAACACCATTCCGCTCTCCTTCTTCACGGAACCCTCACATTTTCCCAGCCTATCGAAAAAATCTTCAGCCGGCTTCATCATTATAAAGTGCTCAGTTGCTCAAAGAGCACGCAAAAAGGGATTTCCCCCCAAAATGGCGAAGAGTTCGTCCAACAATTAAATTTTGCCAAGGTAAGAATGCCTGAATACGGCGCGAGATATCTCATTGGTCCAACATCGCTTCAGCCATTGTTGCATTGGACAGTTTGGAGTTTTTGGTACCACGTAGACTCTTCGATTGTTGAATTTGCACAAGAAATGATGGAGTTACGATGGTTTTAGTAATCATTCATATACATGATCGTTTGCGGGATATTCGATTGAAATCCGCACTGCGGACAAAACTTCGTTTTCCGTAAAAATGCGGACAAATACGGGCGGTTAGCAACACTGCGAAGTAAATCGAACATAATGCGACATACGTGGTGCAATAACTGAACACTTCTGTACCAGGATACGGTCGGGCCTTGTTAATGATAGGCTGTCAATATGGTGGAACAACCATATAGTCAATCCTGTTGTATATATTCCCAGTACGAATCGTACTGCTGTCTTTAACCTTTTGTAGTCCATGTTGTTCGGTAGCGTATTGAATAGCGGAATAAAATGCTGGCCAGCAACAACTGATGCGAGTTTTTGCCCTGTCCACAAGTGCCTGGTCGTTTTCATTGCGATTCCCCTTGCTGTAATTTCCGGCACACAAGGTGACAGCGCTGCCAACTTTGCTGTTGAAGTTGCCCACTTCGATGACAAGCGTTCGTTTGCTTGTCCCATTCCATGCGGAAGATAGTGCGTCGTAGAACTGGTCTATGAGCTCGGGCTCTTCCTTTGCCTTTGTGTTCGTGGTTCCATGTGCCACGACAAACCGAACTGGCAGTGATGAGTTCTCGGGTTGCAGAAACGATAGGTCGACACAGCCCACCAGATCCGACATTTTTTTGTTTTTTTCAAATGCACAGTTCAAATATTTTTGAAACAGCGAAGCCAACTCCACCAGGGCTGTTCTTGTAGGAGTTTATTTAACGTCGCACCACAAACAGGCGATTTCGCCTCCTTTGATACATGTGGACGACAGAAGGAATGAAAGAGAGAGAGGGGGGGGGGGGCAGAAGTACGGAGAGCGGAAGGGTAGAAATAAATAAGCAAATCAACCTCAGGGCTACACGAAAGCAAAACGGAATGGGAACACAAACAGGTGATTTCGCCTCCTTTGATAAATGTGGACAACAGAAGGAATGAGAGAGAACAGGAACAGAAGAACGGAGAGAGGAAGGGTATAAATAAATAAGCAAATAAACCTCAGGGTTACACCAAAGCAAAAACGGAATGGGAACATACTATATGTTGGACTCAGTAGAGCGTCCAGCCCCTATATGATGTCCAACCCCTATATAGAGTCCATTGGTCCAAAATCCACTGTACAGAGTCCAAACTTGGAATCAACTGTGAGCTCTAAGTTTAGATGGACATCACTCCCTGTATAGAGTCCAGCCAATTGGCTTCGCCCCTATATAGAGTCCATTGGTCCAAAATCAACTGTACGGAGTCCAAACTTTGAAATCAACTATATAGAGTCTTTATGTGGACAACACTCCCTGTATAAAGTCCAGCCAATTAGGCATCCCTATCCAGAGTTCAAAACTAGACATAGGATCTGCTGTAAGTGATACGTTACTATTTATTCGTGAAGACTTGGGAACAGAAACAAAACATGTCATGAGAAAGAACAACAGGAAAAAGAAGCACACTCAACTAATCTGTGTGTGTGCGTGCATGCAGTACAACTATGACGTATTGAATATAGATACACATCACGCCCCTTCGAGATGTGGCGAAACCTGTGACAGCAACATCTATCATAAATAAAACAAAATGAAGAATGAAAAGAACAAAGCAAAGACAGCAGAAATTGACATTAGTGATCAAGAGTGTCAATCATAGGACTGTCCATGATGCGAACCCATGTTTAAACGCTGGGGTGGCTTGCGCTGACGTGCGCTGCGGCGGGACGGCGGCGGCGGGGAAGAGGCGTCAGCAGCAGCCGGTCGGACAACGAGCGGTGCAGGCACAAGTGGGCGATACGGACGCAGGAATCTGCGGTTCCGCCAATAACTGCGACCACTCGGCAACTTCACTAGGTGGTCCCGATGATTACCGACAGCAACAATGACCCCACGAATAGACCACTGCTTGGTGCGCGGATGCTGAACATCCACGTGGGTGCCGAGGCGGAGCTGCGGCAACAAGCGACAAGTTGACGACTTGTCTGTGACGGCATCGTCGGATGGCATGGCAGTCACATCATGTGTCGTCGCTTTGGAGAGCCAGGATGAATCAAACTCCTTCAAATGTGCAATGACGAATTACTGGAGAGAGCGGCCATATAGGAGCTCAGCGGGGCTCTGACCAGAGGAGCCAGATGTGTTTCGCCATTCCAGTAGCCCTCGGCGGAAGTCATCTGTGTCAAGATTGCCATTCACGGTTGTCTTGGTGATAAGACGCTTCATGGCTTTGACAGCAGCTTCGGCGTGCCAATTACTCTGTGGGTAGTGGGGAGAGGACATGACATGGTTTACCTGCCAGCGCTTACAAAACTCAGCAAACTTATGCGAGGAGAACTGGGGACCACCATCTGTACACAGCACAGCAGGAACACCAACATCAGAGAACCAGCGACGGAATGCGAGTATCACGTCATGCGATGAGGTGATGCGGCCAGTGCGCGCGACACAGGGCCAACCGGTCAAACGATCTGCATACACAAGGAAGTCGTGACCTTGACAAGTGAACAAATGGGCAGATGCACATTCAAACGATAGTGTTGGGGTGCGGTCGTTCAGCAGGGGCTCAGCTGGCTGGGACGACTGGTGTGCGCGACAAGCAGGACAAGAACGAACGAGTGTATCAATGTCCTTGGTGAAACCGGACCAGTATACAAGCTGACGCGCACGAGACTTAGTACGCACTAGGCCTTGGTGTGAAGCGTGGAGGTTGTGCAATACCTGAGCACGCAATGATTCAGGAACAACAATGCGGTTGCCCTTCAACACAATGCCATGGTCGACGGAGAGATGCTCACGTCCATTCCAGTACGCACGTAACGGAGCAGGCAACTTCTGCTGGCGATCAGGGAATCCAGTCAAGATACACTCAATCAATGACTGGTACGTGGCATCTGCAGCTGCAGCTTCCCGCAGCTCTGCAACTTTGAGATTCGCATTCGGCTCAGTGTCCGAGTACACCATGCAGATCTGAATGCTGCGGCAATGAAGCGACGGGGCTTCACCAAGCTCATCAGTGGTGGAAGGAATGCCAACAGGATTCCGGGACAGCGCATGGGCGAAGGCATTTTCAGAACCTTTTCGCCAAGATGCCTGCAGCTGATAGGCTTGGAGCTTGAGGCGTAATCGTAGAAGACGCGGGTTCTCGATCTGATCCAACGAATATGAGTTGATGATCGGAATCAGGGGCTTGTGGTCGGTGACGACTTCAAATGGCGCACCAGACAGGTAGATGCGGCATTTGCGCACGGCCCATACTACAGCGAGCATTTCCAACTCGATGACAGCATAACGTGTTTCAGCATCAGACAGGTAGCGGGATCCACACTGAATAATACGCCACTGATCATTCTGCTTTTGCCAAAGCACGAATCCGAGACCTCTTAGAGCGGATGCATCGGTTTCAAGCCGGAGGTCTTGACCAACTTGATAGAATGCGAGAACCGGAGGAGACAAGAGAGCTTCCTGTGTCCGTTCAAACGCTGCAGTGTGGCTAACGTCCCACATGAACTCACGGGAGGTCTTGAGCAGGCCACGCAGAGGATTGGTCAACTCGGCTAGATGTGGAGTGAACTCGCCACATTGGTTCACTAGACCGAGGAACGAACGGAGATCAGTTCTGTTGGCGGGTACTGGAAACTGGCGAATACCGGACGTCTTATCATCGTCGACGACCCAGCCATCAGGCGTGACGTTGTAGCCGCAGAAATGGACACGTTGCGTACCGAACACAAACTTGGCGGGGCTGAACGTGATACCATGCTCCCTGGCGCAGAGCAAAATCTCGCGCACGTGGCTGACATGCGACAGAAAGTCGTCGTCGTACGCTAGGCAATCATCGACTACCTTGCCGAGACGCGGGATGGCAGAGAACGCAGCATCAGTGCGCCGGTTGAACTCATCCCCAGCAGATATTAGACCCTGCGGGTTCCGTAGATAACGATATCTGCCGTACGGGGTGATGAACGTGGTGAATTCCTGAGCAGTGTCACTGAGAGGAATCTGCCAGTAGCCGTGCCTTGCATCGAGCTTCGTAAAGAACTTAGCAGAGCCAACTCCAGAGACAACGTCACGTGCCGTATGTACGGGATGCGCGGGACGACGGACTTGGTCGTTCAGCCGCTTGAAGTCAACTGTGAGGCGCTTCTCAGTGCTGCCCTTCTTGTCTACTATGACAATCGGATGGCACCATTCACTGGGCTCCGTCACTGGTTCAATAATCCCGTCGCTGACCATGCCGTCGAGCTGAGTCTTGATCTGATCACGGAACGCATACGGCATTGGTCGAGCAGTGTACACACAGGAAGGCTTAGAATCATGCTGTAGCTCAATTTCCATTGGCGGACCTTCCATTGGCTTCAGACCGGAATCCGAGAAAACGCCAGCGAACTCTTGCAGGAGCTGCTCACGTGTCCGCGCTAACTCAGCATCACTAGGATGAGCGCATGACGAAACAGCTGCACAGATCTTGGGTGAAGATGCACCCTCGTGTTCAGCGGTGAATTGGACTGGCCAATCAGGTGGGAGAAACTTCAGCGCACGCAATGAGGTATGAGAGCAGGGCATCGTGTAGACCCTTGTACACATGGATGACGGTTTCATGCTGCGTCTCACCGACTCGTAGAGTCGCACGTATCTTGCCCAGGTTGCGTAGCGGCTCACCGGTCACAGCCTGCACACAGTCGTGGTCGTCATCTAAGTTCTCGACGAACCCACCGATCTGTGTGAGGTGCTCCTCGCCAATGGCATCAACGTCACTGCCTGTGTCTGGTGCCCAGGACAGTTGGGATGGCTGATCCTCTGTTTGCAGCATGGTCGAAACAGGTACTGTGCGACGGTCCACGCGAGACGCACGCTGTAGCTTCAGCTGTCCAAGCTTGGCAGCAGAGCTAGTCTTCGGCTGTTTCTGGCGCTTGCACATTCGCTGAAAATGCCCAATGCCATGACAGGAGTTGCACTTCTTGCCCTTGGCAGGACATGCAGATTTCGTGTGGTCAGAACGACCACAATTTGGACAAGTGGACTTGGTCGCACTTGATGTCTCACTTGGCGTAGAGTCAGCTGGCTTGTGACGTTTCTGCTGCTTGTACGCCGACTGCTTGGCAGCACTTGCCTGGAGGCCAGGACTGGGCATGTGTGCCTTGGTGTGGTATGCTGCTTCCTCCGTCCGACAGAGGGTGACAGCCTGGTCGAGCGTGAGACCATGAGTTGCGAGCAACTTGTGTCGCGTCTCATCGTTCCGCACACCAATTACGACGCGGTTGCGCAGAGATTCCTCCTTGAGGGTACGGCCGAGGCCTTTGCACTGCGCACAGCAGCGAGCATCACACGTTCCACATAGGCTGTGTGACAAGAAATCGCATGCACTTTGTAGTTCACACAGAGCTGTGTAAAACGCATCAAATGATTCTCCAGCTTGCTGGACACGCTGGTAAAACTCTATGCGGTCCAACAGTGGATTACGTTGCCGTCTGATATACGCCTGAATGCGCTCCAGCATCAGGTCGACATCAGCTGAAGCTGGTATGCAGATAATATCCTCTCGGATAAAACGTCGCAGCTCCTCATAGAAACACTGACGGAGTGTTGCCACTCTGGCCTCACGAGCCTGGCTGGCCAAATGCTGGCAAACACTAAAATCTCTCCAGCTTTCAACGAAGGAGTGAAAATCAGCCAGCGTCGCAGACGACAATAAGTGGGGGCAGGAAACACTGTTCACTGGCCGTGGTGCTGAGGTCTGCGAGGTGGACTGAGCTGGTGCTGAGGGCTGCGGAGTGAATTGAGGCTGCGACGGTGATAGCGACCTGCTCTGAACATTCTTGAACAGATCTTGCATCGCCTTATCACGAGCCTCAGCTTCACGCATCTGCTGCTCCATAAATTTCATCAGGACACCCATTTGAGATTCCTGCTGTCGCTCGGTCGCGGAGGACAGGTCAAATCCGGTATCGTCCTGTAATTGTTCCATTACGATTAGTCACTCGTCCACGAGTACGAACAAATACACTACTAAAATAATTCAACTGAGACAGAGTTTCGATCGCGGAAACTACTACTTCACACGGAAAAACAACTGGGCCCGTGCAAACACTACAAGGTGCGGACACAAGGCACGGACACAGGAAAGAACAAGTTCACTGCGCCATGATACGTTACTATTTATTCGTGAAGACTTGGGAACAGAAACAAAACATGTCATGAGAAAGAACAACAGGAAAAAGAAGCACACTCAACTAATCTGTGTGTGTGCGTGCATGCAGTACAACTATGACGTAATGAATATAGATACACATCAGTAAGCAGTGAATATTAACCAGAAAACGGCCTCTCCCTTTAATTCTTTACATCATTCACTTCTCAAGATAAAAAAAAGTATTGAGGCGCCACTGCAGCCACTTCATTACATGAAAAAACCTACAAACACCATCCTCAAATCAAGTGGTCTCTTCGCAGACGCTGCAAATTACAATATCTCAATCATGTAGTGTTGCCAAAGTATTGCGCACGCACACACACACATGCACACACCCACACAACGCGCAGAAAATACCTAGAAAAAACCAAGAATTGAAAGAGAATAATGGAGAGCCAAGGATTAATTATTTGTTTTAAATTATGCGGAATGCCCGGCTTCCAGCCGAGTCTCACGCGAACCGTGATTTTTTTTAAAATTATTGTGCGCACGCACACACACTTATACAACGCCAAGAAAACACCAAGAAAACACCAAGAAAAGAGTAGAGACACAATACACACGCAACTCCAACAGCCATGCAAACGTCCACCTATTTACACGTAAAGTCAAGAGAGATAACAAATAATTATACGAAACGAATGCATACGTGGGCGGCTGCACGCACGTTTACATACATGTAGTAGTGTAAGAGAGTAACATAGTGTAGTAGTCAGCATAATACTAGCACATGCTGAGAGTGCAATGGCAAGCTTCACCATCGCTCATGGCCATGCAAATGTTCAGCAGCACTCAGTTCCGCAAGCTTCTGAAGATCAGCACACCTGCAACAAATAGGTAGCACAAGGATACGCTTATTACCGTAATGATGCATGGGAGCACACAACTACCAAGTTTTCATCGAATGTGATGCTCAATGAAAATCCATCCACGCAAAGACCTGTGAACAGGTGACGGTGGGGACAATAATCTATTAGAAATACGAGGAATAAGGTCGTTTGTGCACACTCAAGACGCACAGACACACCACCATACATGTAGTGTACACAGTGTTTCACTTCACTGTAACTAAATTGAAATGAGATGATTCGAACAATCTGTACAGCGTTGCCGTCAGTCAGTCTTCCCCAAGATGGAAATGCAATGATTTGTTGTCACGAGGCAGTTTCACTGACACAATGTCATGTTTGTGACATCAAAACGGTTACTTCATGGAATACGAGTATTAGCTTGAAGCTTTTTCTTGTCATCGGCATACAAGAAATCCTCCTCCTACTACTACTACTAGTACACTGGCACTGCGTTTGTGGATCCCATTGTATTTGACATCATACTAGAGCCTAGTAGAGGAAGAGTGTCGTGGAGTTACATAATATTATCACAGGGATAAAAATACATTTCTCATGAAATAAAATAATAATTGATGATAGCTGACGATTGTATACGATTGATGCAAAGTCCTTGCAGTCCTTGAGGATTATTACGAAGTGGTTGATTACTTTTAGGGCATTCATTCAAGCAACATCAAACAAACGCGATACGCTCCTTGAAAATGGAAACAAATTCAAGCATAACGACAGAACAGCAGACCAATCGAAACGAGTAAAAGCTTCCTTACCTCAGTCATCGTCCTGCCATGTTGTTGGATAGCCTTTTGACACGGTGGTACAGGCAGCTCTTGTCCAGTCGAACAGGGTATCCTTGTGGCGTCGAACGAAAGAGAGTGTCAGTGTATCTGACTCGTCAGATTGGAACTGTGCTGAACTTTTCTCGTTCTCCGCTTTCTGCTTTCATCCCTCGCTCTGATGAGACCGTGCAAACGTCTTACTGGCAGCAATGGCCAGCCAAACAGGGGATCTTTGTGGCGTCGAACGAAAGAGAGTGTCAGTGTACCTGACTCGTCAGATTTGAACTGTGCTGAACTTTTCTCGCTCTGCAATTTCTGCTTTCATCCCGCGCACTGATGAAACGTCTTCAGAGAACCACAAGACGCTTTCCAGATTTGATTTTGAACGTCTCCTTATCCTCCTTGGTTACCTTGAGACAGATTACTGTCAGCAACTGCACAGCAGAACTGACAGCCATGGCTGAAGTGAAGAAAGGAATGCGCTGCCGCGAGGCTAGCAAAACTGAAAAGGTGTTTGTTCTCTTTCGGGCACAACACACAGTACAGGCTTGACTGGATAAACTGGACTCCTGGACCGTGAATAGGGGACTTGTAGAAAAAGTGTACTCCATATAGGGGATTGCGCGGCAGGATGAAGCTGATCAAAACTGAGTGGACTCCTGTACTCTGTATAGTGGATTTTGGACCAATGGACTCTATATAGGGTGCTGGACATCATATAGTGCATGGACTCTATACTGAGTCCTACATATATACAAAATACTTGAAGTAGCTTCATACACAAAACATGTTTACTATTCTTCAGTCCGCTATACCACAGAAACACACTAGTCGGAAAGAATTTAAACGGAGCCATGATGCGCTTTTAGCAGGGCACCTCGGAATGGAGATCAGACGGAAGCTGGTTCCACAGGACTGCGCTGACGTACTGCATGGTTGCTCGACCCGCAGGACTGGGCCAAAATGGTACTCGAACGAGGTGATGTGCTGCTCCCCCAGTGCGGTCACAAGTAACTCACGAAGAAGCTGGTGAAGAGGGAGCTACCTCGGGAGAGCAGACAACGACGGACAAAGATGAGGAGCTTAATGTTAAACATGTCCTCCAGGGTGGTGAGGCGGAGCTGTTCAAAAATCGGGCTAGTGCGCGACCACTGTGGCAGACCGAAGAAACTGCGGATAGCGCACTTCTGGGAAGTCACCAGCGTGCCAAAGCTACACTAGCATCCGGAAACGGCGGACAGCAACGATGTGCGAGAGTGGCTGTGTGTGTGCTCTGGAATATAGGTCTTTTTTGGACATGATGGCGGGATACAAAAAAAACCTAATTCCGAAAAAGGTCGGTAGTTGACGTCTATGGAAGGCGTTCAGCTTCTTCAGTGCAGCCTCCGTCAGTCCCCAGGTTTCGCAGTTGTGGAATACCGTTGGTAGGACAATGGCATTGCATAGACAAAGTTTTGTTTCCTCGGATACAAGTTGACGTCGTATCCAGAGCGAATACATGCGGCCATACGATGTTGATGCTTTGTCCATTCG